CTCTCTCTCTCTCTCTCTCTCTCTCTCTCTCTCTCTCTCTCTCTCTCGTACTTGTGTTGGGATTTTGCGAACAATAATGCTCTATGATAGCATACACATATTCAAAACAGCGGATATTCATTATTACTGCCAATTGAAATGATTCAGAGCTCAGTAACAATATCATTGTGCTCTCACTCTTCGTGCATATCTACTGAAGTGATTATCGCCAGAGCACATTGAAGCGTTTTTTGTTTGCGGTCGGTCGTAGGTTTTCTTTGGCCTCTGCCAATATGCGCACAAACACACAAACACATTTCAATGGCCCTCCCTAATGTATTTGTCTTAAATTCGATGTCACTTATCACTGTTATCACACTTCAACCTTTATGCACGTATAAATTTGTATCATTGAGAAATGATTACATTGCACATAAATTCACGTTCCGTTGGAGAGAAAAGTGGCTGCCTTCATATTCAGTTCAAATCAATTACGACTTTTATTCACATTTAGTCGAATGACATAAATTCTCATTTTTTTTGCTGTTTCTTCTCAATATTTACGTCATTCGTTAGCATAAATGTTTCTATTTTCATGAGCTAATCTAATGCTTTATACGATTTAAGTGGATACTCACAACTCTGATCCATTTTATCAATAATAACATTCTTGGTCGAAGATACATGAAATTGTTGTGTTTGGAAGAAACAAACATACAATAAAATCATACGCCCTCAAATCAAATTCTTCCATCCCTTTTCGTTCAAGTTTGAATCATATACGGATCGAAATGTTTATTTTTGGATTTTTTTTTTCATTCATTGAGAATGGAATTGATTAAAATTCGTTTCTTCTACCGTGAAAAAAATTGTCTGAAAATGGTAGTTTCAACTGGATACGTCTTGTCCTCATACAACGAATGCACATTTATGGACACAAGGGATGCCACATAGTGTTCTCTACATAAAGTATCCAGTTTTGGCTGGATATTTACCTCCCTCATACTAAATATACACAGGTGCATGGAAGGGATGTCAACATTGAAACGTTTCTTACACCGTAAGTAATCTAGTTTCGGCTGGTTTTTTCCATCCAATCAAAACCAAAGCCTACCTTACTCGGAAAGCGCGGTGCCGCTCAGTGTTCAGTTACGATTTGAATTTTCCTAGTCGCAGATCCGATTCCGTGTAACGGAAATTATAGAAGCCAAAGTGCTTATCAAAATTGACTGTGTGTGTTCAGAGTATGCTTAAAGTCAGATCTGTGAAACGGTTGAAAGTGTTGAACGTTGAATCTTCCTTTATTTTGAACAAAAATTTGGGTCAACATTCAAAAAATATCCATGTTTATCAATTTATTTTCGTTGATTCGAGTCATTTCTGGAAAAAAAGTCAACGATTTATTTTAAATGTCCTTAAAAGTAATTGAATTGTCAAATGCGGGAACGATTATCATTTCTAAAAAAGATTCTAATATAAGAAAAATTGTTACCGCATGACATTTTTTCCAACACGAAAAATTATGAGAAAGTTTCTCTACTTCACCCAATGTACTGAAAATGAAAAAAAAAAAACACTCCAAACATTGAGATATTTTTCAATGGATAAATCAACGTAAAGTGAATGTCAATACAAAACTTATAAATCTGGGTACATTTCCTCCAATCCATCTAAAAATAAGCACCATGATCGTGACACTGTATTTATGTGTTATGAAGCCATACTATGACTATCCATCGAATCACATGTTCAATTCTGTCATGACAAATGTTCCGCATAACGCCTATATTTCAAAACGCAAAAATGGTTTACAACTCGAAATTACGCAGAAAAGCATAAAATTCGCGGTACATTTGAATTATGTCATTTAGCAAGCAAGCGAGCAGTTGGTAACTAAGCCAGAAATTTTCTCTTTTGTTTGAGTCTTTTGTTTATTTTAAGACCAACATTCTATACATAGCATCACCGGTGCGTGTTGATGAAGGAAATGTGCAAAACCAGATTTTCCGGCTGCTACGCATTAAGTGGTTGAAGGAAAGGAGAATCATACACGTGTTGCATTTTTAGTTCAATCACCACCAAAGCATCGTACTTATTCCGTGTAACAATATTCTATGTGCGCAAAAACGGTAGCGTGTTTTCACTACGTCACGCGAAGAGGGGTAGAAAATCTGTGTACCTCTATAGAAACACGGCCCATAAAAAAGAGCGACCAAAATTCCATTTCATACGATTTGTTGTTACCCTCAACCGTTATCTCATGGAATTCGGTTTGAACTGGTTTAATCTCGCTATTGAATGTTGCACCGGGCAGATGCGTGTGACATTCGCATCTCCAAAGAAAGTCGTACCATTTTTTTTTACCTTGTAATCTTTCAATAGTCAAACTGGGCGATTTGTTCAGAAAAAGCAACAAAGTAATAGATGAATGTTGTGCCGCTTGAACGCTAAACTCACCGTAAAATATTCGTTTTCCGTGCATTTTAAGTCGAAATTCACGTTGTATTTTCATATTGGTTTTGGCGCTTCGTTTCTCCTCCGTTTCTCGTATATTCTCTCGTTCATACGCTCTTCGTTCATACTGTTGCTCGAGACAGTGTTTACATGCTTGTCCACAGTGCGAACTGTGTATTGTATGATACACCTATACCTTGTTGCTGCCAAGCAACGTTTTGTGTATTACGTTTTGCTGTTTTACGTTGTGCTCGCATTAGTCATATATTCATCAAGCTGGACAAATACACTCTCACAACACCGACTACGCGACTCCCGTTGCGCTTGTATTGGAATCGATGTGTGTAGCCAGTGTACAGCGCGAGTAACAGAGATAGAAACGCTTCTCCACCATTGTTCTAGCTGTGTGGATTGATCTTTTTTCAGTTTCATTCGAACTGGTTGTTGTTTAACACGCTTTGTAATAGGCTTAGCCGACGAAACTCAACTTAAATGCTAAACGCAGTTCAATCCACTCGATTCAAACATTGTTTTTTTTTCTTTTGGATTCAGAACCGATAATCCAAATATACAATTCAATTTTTTATTTTGCTTAAATTTACGAATTTGAGGAAAATCATTAATAAAAGTGTTTAACCAGTGTGCTATTGGGCAGTTTGAAATCGGTTGTACGAGATCGTTTGTGTGGTAAAACGGGCGTGTAGTCCATGTGTACTCTTTAATTAGAGAGCATCTCAATTCATTGAACAGTCAACAGCGAACGTTGATCGATGTACCCAAAAGTGCTGTGCTAATAAAAAAAAATTCGTTACAAAAAAAAAACATCACCAAAAAATCTCAAAACAAAATCCATTCCGTCCAAATCGAATCTCATCATCAAAATTGAAAAATTATGACTAAGGAAAAGTACTTTGACGATAGTCAAGAGAAAAAATCGGTCAATTCCGCATTCTTTGATGGACCTCGGAAAGAATCATTCAAATTAACACGGTTCATTTACAATAAACGCGAAGGAACGGTTTTGGGGCGCAACACAGAGTCATGGGGTAAGATCAAGTCGATAAATTACCTGATTATTTTTTTGCTTGAACTTTGTTCGAGTGAGTGAAATTCCAGAGAAAAAACAATTGTGAGTTGAATGTTGATGATGCCGTGGTAATGGAGAAGTGGCCAATTCATGTATTTGTGTATATACATCGTATCAAGTAATCAAAAGGTGCTTATAATGAAATTTAATATGACAAACAAAATAGCAACATCAGCATTTTTTTCTCCTGTTTTTGTAGTATATCAATTGAGCATTAAAATGTAATGAGTTAGTTGAATATTTTGGCATAATTCCGAAATTATGCGCTTGAAACACTCACACATAAATAAACAGGTGTGTCTCTTCGGTGAAACGCATACAAATAAATAAACAACTTACAACAAACACTAATACGTGGCCACGTAGTTCATACCTACTTCTTTTTTCTTTTATTTGGACGCGCGGCGAGCGCAGCGATCGAGTTTAATGTTTCATGATATTGAAGTGAATTGACGTGAACGCCGAAACGAAATATTGTGTACGTGCGTCTATGTGCGTTTGTGTGCGTATGGACGGTGTTCGCTCCGTACACAAACAAAAATGTATGCTTTCTTAACGTTTCGGTTATTTTGTTTCGTTCATATTTGTTTGTCTTAATATGTGCTACTAATGCGTCGTATAGTTTAGTGCATCGCGTTGATATATACTTTGTATATCAAATATTCATCGCTTTTATTTAATTGGATGTATGGTGTGAGTGGTCAAAACGAGTCTTACACGAACCTCAACCGTTAACGTGTTTACATCGCGATAATTCCATCTGTCAGAAAGTGTCATTGGTTGTGTGTATTCCTTCTTTTGTTTAGAACAACCGAATCGTAGTAATTATCCGTGCTTGGAACTATCGTTGTCGAGTGCACAGGCACACTCAAGAACAACACCGTACACCAAACAAAAAATCGATGAGCTTCAAATGAATTAGCTACCTTCGATGCCATTCCCAAACAATTATCTGTGAGATCCATTGTTCCGTTTGATTGTTCGATTTCCCATTGATCGAAATGAATCAACCATTTGCATGTCATTACAAAAGATAGCGTCTATTACAATTTTATCTCTAACCATACGAACTCAATGGAATTGTTCTGATGATAAAAATTCAATGTCGAACTAACCAATTTCGCAGTAAAATCCTACTTCATTCATTCCGTTCTATTTTTAGGCCAGAATAAACATATAAGGTCGTGGTTAATGCCGGTTAGGCTATGATGAATGTATGCAAACATGTGCTCATCGTTATTGAAAACAAATTGAGTGTAATCACGCCTTTTGCGGCAACTTTCTTTTTTTATCCAAATACATTCTAATTTCCACTCTGATCATTTCGTTTGTACACCGAAACAAGTTCTGAATTGAGAAATGAGTCACTGCTCATTTCATTCATATATTTATGATAAATCAAATCTAAAAATAACGTGATATTCAAAATGTCATACATCAAAAATTCAATTACACAATTGAAGGGACGACTGAACTCGATGAACTGTGCGTGACTCAGTTCAACACAGCTCAGCTCAGCTCATCCTATCCCATTCCATTCCGTATATATGATGTCTTGTCCATTAAATCGTTTCTATTGAATGTAACACAAACACTAATTGCAGTCAAGATATACCGAAATGAAAAACACATTTGTCCCATGCCTTAACGACCCATATGCGGCGTCACGTCTGCTACGCTCAAACAATCACATGTGTTTTATTATTGTACAGTTGTTGTGAATTTTGCCATTATCGAATGAGTTCAACTGGCTCATCGGTGCAGCTAAAATGCATTTAAACAGTAGTTTAACTGCACCCAGAACGCAAAAAGAAGCAGAAGAAAACATGATCTCGATCTCGTTGTAATTTAAATATTTTGTTTTTATTTACAGTAAAAATCGGCATATTTTACTCGATATTCTACGCCGCGTTGGCCGCATTGGTAGCGATGTGTATGTGGGTATTTTTCCAAACGCTCGATCCACGTATACCAAAGTGGAAGCTGAAAGAATCGCTGATCGGCACAAATCCAGGTTCATTACGACTATTTCATGCACTGAAATGATGCGCATGCAAAAATTGCAGCCGAACCTTTGTCTAAACGGAGAATGTTTACTTTTGCATATTACAGGTCTTGGGTTTCGTCCAATGCCACCACACGAGAACATCGAAAGTACGTTAATTTGGTATAAAGGTACCAACTATGAAAACTACCGCCAATGGACCGATGCACTTGATAAATTTCTCGCAAGTATGTGATTTTGTTTGTGCCGAATTTGTCTTTTCGTCAAATTTCTTTCAGAAAAACATCACTAATCTCTCTAATTGCCCATTCCATTGTTTGCCATCCATAGTTTACAAAACACCTGGTGTAACGACTGGACGTGGTCAGAATATTTTCAACTGCAAATACAATTCACCCCCACCATCCGGCAAGGTTTGTGACGTCGATATTCGGGAATTTAGAAAGTGTACACAAGAAAATAACTACAGCTACCATAAGAGTTCACCATGTGTTTTCATCAAATTGAATCGTATTTACGGCTGGGTACCAGAATTTTATAATCGTACCACTGATTTGCCTGCAAATATGCCACGTCAGCTGATTCAAAAAATCAATGTAACTGATGCAACAGAGGTAACGTTTCCCATAATTTAAAAATAATTCATTGGAATTGTGTGCTGAGAGACAATTGTTTTTTTTTCAACGTGCTCCATTTGTTTCGTTTCGTTTCAGTTAAACACCGTTTGGATATCGTGTGAAGGAGAGAATGCCGCTGATGTGGAAAATATCGGCCCAATTGAATACTATCCACGTCAAGGTTTTCCGGGCTATTATTTCCCATATGAAAACTCTGAAGGATATCTTAGTCCTTTGGTTGCCATTCATTTCACGAAACCAACGCGTAAGTGTCTTCATTTAGACCAATCATTTGACTACATATCAGTTTTGTTGTGACGTCAAAATTACCATCTAAATTTTATGGTTAATTCTAGGTGGAATCATCATTAATGTCGAATGCAAAGCATGGGCATATAATATTAAACATGATCGAAAAGAGCGAACGGGTTCGGTACATTTTGAATTGATGATCGATTAAACGCTAGTCGATTTATACATCGTTTTTACAAACAGCATATAATACACAACACATTCATACCGAATGGTGCCGTTGTCATACAGTGAAAATAACAACAATGCTACGAGAATTATTTTTCGAACAATCAACTCAAGCAATTTCACCTAAAACGAATGATAATAACGAGAAAAACCTTACACACTTTTTTTTTGATTGTTCAGTCCATTTTTATTTTGTTTTCTTTTTTTTTGTAGTACCATGTGAAAAAGATAAAAAAATTGTTGTTCGATTGTACAAAAGATTTTTAAATCTAAAAGAAAAAAATGAGAAGAAAAAATACATATTTTCAATTGCAAATAATGGAAAAAAAATGTAACATGAGAGTGAAAACATATGAATATTTAATGATAAGGAACGATTATCAAAAGCCATTCCATTTCTATTGATTGTACTAATAAAATGAGGCAAGAGAAGAAAAACACACATCATTTTAACCGAAAATCGAATGAAAGATATTTCTTTAGTTTGTAGAATATTATGAAAGTCTCGTACATTATGTATAATTTATGAACATTGTAAGGCAATAAATTCGAAATAGAAACAAGCCAAAAATTGTTTGTTTTCTTGGCGCTACCGTATTGTTTGTTATTTATGATATGAATTCATCTGGAATGTCCATTCATCTTTTTTCCGTTGGTGATATTCAGTTTACATCGGATATAGTATTTGATTCAAACGAAACGAGTCGAAAATCAAAGAGTTTGCGAAGCTTTTACCACTGCGCCATCTACACCTCAATAGCAAAAATGGACGCAACAAAACTTTATGTGTCATCGAATACAACCAGACTCACGCGACACGAAATTCAGTCGAATCGAAACCAAGCACCGTAATCGCAAACATTATTATCAAAATGTGTCATATATTTCTCAAGTGCTTATAGTCGTGTGCCGGAAATTTTTGTGATATTATTTCGAAAAAAAGAGCCACTTTGATTCATCAACTTATCATTTGTTTGCGAATAATTACAATAAACCGTTAATGCGGCAAGTGAAACAGCTGTGATTTTGTATGTGTGCGGCGCGCGCATTCGCATGTGTACGAACCAACTGTCAAATGGCAAGCATAGAATAGAATAAAAGAACAAGAGCATACGGGTGAAGCAAAGAGAGAGAGAGAGAGAGAGAGAGGAAAAAAAGACAGAAGAAATAAATAAACACCGACTCGCGAAGAATCAAAACGAAAAATACAGTGTATAAAAACAATAAGAATGAACGAAAAGTCCCACACTCGCGACAACAAAAGGCAACTTTACGCATAAAATCAGTACGTCAATTTCAATTGCAATTTTTGCTAATCTGTGTGTCTGTGTACAAAATTGTTAGTTGCAATAGCAACGAGAGAACCTGTGATTAAAACAGAGCACTAGGAGAGAGATAGGAATAGGCATACACCGCTAATCGTTGCCGTCGCTGCTGCCACCGTCATCGCCGAATACAAGCCGTAGGCATTGTGCAAAATAGAAAAAAAAAACAAACGTACAATTCCATGGTATTTGGTGTGTGAGCGCGCTTGCCTCACGTATAGAAGGGAATTATCACATACGAGAATACGGAAAAAGAAAATAAACCAACTAACGAAACAAATACACTGTGTGTTTGAGAAAATCTGTTCGCAATATGTCTTGAAAAGCGGTTCGAAAACGTCGCGCGCTGTTTGTGCTATTTTTAAATGTGAAATTCTTGCCGTAGTTGAAACATCGTAGACGTGGTCTTCGTTCGTTGGTTCTCATTTTTTTTTCGGTGCAATCAAAAGTGTCTAAATTCGACAGAGAGAGAGAGAAAGAACGGCACATAAAAAAAGCAACTCATACATAAAATGAATGTTCACTAAATAATTTTTACACAATGATCCGGCCCAACAGTCGAGTGTGAGACGTGTTCTAACTCCTGCGTTCATTTGCTCGTTCGTTCGTTCTGTGCTAATTCCAATTCGAATTGATTTCATCGAAACGAAAATTCCAATAACTTTTGATTTAATTAAAAGCCAAAATAGTGTTGTGTTTTGTGTGTTTGCACAGTGCCATAGCGTATAGAATCCGAATAGACCGAATATAACTAGAGAAATCAAAGTTAATTAAAAAAAGAAAAGAAATAAAGATAAACGTGAGCGTACTGACAGAGCGCGGAGGTGTTAAAATTAAATAACCACACAAAGTCGAAACGGCAAAGAAAATGGGCAAAAAGAAACCAACAACATCGTCGGCAATTACTACGGCCCGTGTGCCAGTACAACAGCATGCAGTGCGCGAGAATGTATCGAAAAAGTTATCACAGCAAAAGCGCAACGAAATTAATCAATTGGCTGATTATCTGTTGAAATTGGGATTTGATGCAACGGTAACACTCAACGAACTCTGGTCACAGTACGTGGAAATCGAAGCGAATCTACAGCGGCTGCAAGCGATTGAATCGGAATTAAAGACAAAATCGCATAGTGGTAAAAATCGATTGGCAACCATTGATCGATTTTATGAATGGGCCAAGAGTAATGGGGCACAATTTGATGGCGTTCGCATTCAACAATTTCCACATTATGAACTTGGTTTGGTGGCAACCAAAGATTTTCAACGCGGCGAACAATTTGCCAAAATTCCAAAGAAGATGATTTTATCGTTGGACAATTTGAGTGAAGCGGCTGCCACGGTATTGGATCAGGTGCCGGTGCTCGACACAATGCCAAATGTTAAATTGGCATTCGCATTAGCCATTGAACGATTGAATGGAAACGCAAGTTTCTGGAAGCCATATATTGATTTGTTGCCCGAACGTTATTCAACGGTCATGTATTTTACAACAAATGAAATGAATGAACTGAAAGGATCGAGTGCATTTGTTTCGGCACTGAATCAATCGAAACACATTGCTCGACAATACGCATTCATACGCAAAGCCATACAAAATCTCAAATCCGAGCAACCCGATTCCATGCTGGCCATTCTCAAGGAACGTTTTACTTACGATTTATACTGGTGAGTCCGATTACTTGTGTTGTGTACAGTAGATACACATTCTCTATACTGGTGAATAATAATAAGAATTATTGAAAACCTCGAATAATCTCTTCGAGTGATAATGAACAGGCGATTCGGTGGTGGTGTTGTTGTTTTTTTCTCATTCACATTCATTTTTATTATATGCTTGTTATTTAGCTTAACAATTACTTTATACAACACAATAAACCGAAAGAGAAAAACGAGTATAAGATACACACAACGCACATGTGCTTTGTGATAGTCAGTGTGTGGTGTGAATATCTAGATATAGTCACTCAGTTTGCTGCTTCTCAGTTTGTTTTTGTTTTTTTCTTTCTTCTTTTTCTCTTTCTTTTCTCCTTCTTCCGAGTCGTTGTTATTTTACTCAAAATGTGTTTGCCATAATATTCATATGTGTGTTTTACGTTATTAATGAACTCAATCTGGATGAATCTGGTGAAATAAATATGCAATGTGTGTTTTGCCGTGAATTGATGATTGAATTTGTATCATTCATGAATATGCTGTTGCAATGACCATCATTGAATTGTAAGTTTTCATATGCAGATGTAATTTATGTTTCCAATTTGAATGCTACAATTTGGCTTCGTAATAATTCTATCTTCGAAAGAGAGCTGTTTGTGTGTGTTTGTGCTATTTTAAATCATTATTTGCTACAACGAATCAATTTTACTGCTTAATTTCATTTCATAATTCTCGTGTTTTACGGTAGTTTACGTATATATTTCTCAAGATTGAAGAAAAGAAAACATTCGAAAAAGTGCGAATGTTGCGAGCGAAAGAGTTCTGTTAAGAACGAAACGAAAATTATATGATGTAATTGGAATGGTTTGTTTTCTTCTTTACAAGTATCGTTGTTATTATGTTATGTTTTCCTCTACAAATTAGTCTTATTAATAGTGTATTTTCTGCTCTAGTTTAGATTTATATTATAGATGTATTCATTTGTTGTTGTTGTTGTTGTCGATCTGAAAAAATGTGATAGAATCAGCTTATTGGAATGGTTTTCGCATGGCATCGTACAAATAATCTTGCACTTCTGGTGAGTTTGGGTCCATTGTATTCAGTTTACTGCTACGCCGCGAACTATTTGCCGCACTTAGATATGCAATTGCTGGACTAGTACTTCGTTTGGATGGTGATACATCGCGGCTGCCTAAAATAGGAAGGCGTCCTCGAAGTGCTTGAAATCGATCCGAATAGCATATTTTACGCTTTCGCCGTTGTCGCCATCGGCATACCATGAAAATGATAAAGAATATTGTCATCGAAATCAGTACAATGCTTGCACTCGCCACAATTGCGCTTCGTACACCAATTGGAATTTGTGCATTTTCAATTAGCACATTATTACGTTTGTATCCGTGACCGCTGAGCTCTAGGTCGAGCGGGTCGTGCGATCGTGCGGCTGCATCGTTTCGATTTTGATCGACCACATCATGGAATGCGGTATTCACGTTCATCTCGTCCCCGGTTGATGGTCGTAAAATGTGTTGTTTTGATAGAAACAACGAAGCGGCCGGCGAGGAATTTTCCAAAAAGTTGTGCTCACTGTGCGGTGACGATGCATCAATGTGGTCGTTGTTCCATAGTTGTGTTGGAATATTGCGACCGGTTGCACTTTCAGCCAATTGAATAACGAATGGTTTGCGAATTGCACGCGATTCTTTGATGACCTCAGCCGTTGGTTGAATATTTGTTATCGATGTGAAGTAGCTAGAGCCTTGTGAATCGGTTTTTATCTCATCGGGAGCTACACTTTTCACACTGTCCAAATTGAAATCGGGGAAATTTTTGAAAGCAGTTACTACATCAAGTTTTGACTGCTGATGCTGATGCTGCTGTTGCTGTTGTTGTTGTTGCGTTGGCGGTGTTGGTGATGTAGTCGAAGAGACTTTGCTACGACTGTGGAATATTTCTGCCAAATGAACCTGGAGGATGAACGAATAAAGGAAACAAAAAATCATAATTCAATAAACTAAATGACAACATCGCTACACTTGATATGAAGCATAAACTGAGTTTACACAGTATACATAAATGGTTGAAATTATTTCAACGAATTACCTGTGAACTACCTCTTTTCCGATGTTCAAGCAGCTCATCGACTGTCATATTTCTTTGTCGAAGCACTTTGACCAAACGGGCACCACTGCGCCGATCATTCAATAAATCCATCAATTCCGTTTTATCATCCACATACCTTGAGGTGATATCCGTGAACAGGCCGGGATTGCGTTCGGTAACGTCCAATTTATCTATAGTTTTTCTAATGATATTCACCAAGTTGCCGCCAAAAATTTTGAGTGAATTCGGTTTTTCGGATTTGAAAATACTATCCGAACGTGATGTGGACGAAGCATGAATGAATTCATCCATTTCAGCACTATTGCTGTTACTGTCCGGATCCATGCTGTCCGAAATGAACAGCTCCTCCAAACTGGTTACCTCTTTTGACTTGGATTCATCCTCCAGATCAACTAAATTCAATTCGGGAACTGATTCATTCAATTTTTTATTCAAATCATCATTCTTCGGCTGGTCTTCGTCCAGCACTTCGTTAGGTTCAGTGGTCTTTTGATCATTTGACTGAGTGTTAAATGTGACGATTGTGTACGGAAGTGACTCTTCGCTGGTTGTAGTGACTTTGGTTGATGTTACTTCAACTGGAGCCTGTGATGAAGACGATGGCTCGGTTGGGCTAACAGTGGATGGTAGAAGTGATGGTACATTTCTGATTCTCGGTGGCCGAAGTGCCAAGCGTTCACGTAGATTCATTCTCGGAGCTCCCGTGGTCGTTGACACTGAAACCGCTTCCGGTTCCGCTTCAGTCGTTGAAGAGACCACTTCAATTGTGTCCACAATCTTCTGCTCTTCTTTCTCTTCGGATGGCTTATTTTCGCCGCCTTGAGTTTCATTTGCCTTCGATGCTTCCGGCGGCAATGTTTCAACCGTTGAAGTGGTTCGGAATTTCGATTGTAAGAATTTCATATTTGGCATCCGCTTACGCAGATTTGAATTATCCAAATCGGGCCTAATTCCCGATACCACTTCTTTGATGACTTTTCCACGACCCGATGGCGGTATGCGCCATCCACCCGATTCACCGTCATATTTGCTTGGCGCATTGGGCAAATATGTTGGAATGGTCGAGAAGATTTTTCTTTCAACTGACGACGATTCACTGCTCGCATTTTTCTCGTCGGGTGTTTGTGGCATTGGCGTTGAGCTACTACTTTCAACTCGATCGGCATTTGTAACGCGTGTTGTTCCATTAAAGAAATTTCGTCTTGGTTTCATGACATTGAGCTGTGGCAGCGATGGAAGACGTCGTGTTGACTTTGCCAGTTCACCATCTTTCGCACCACCATCGGGCGGCGGCGGTGCAGCAGTATTTTTAAGCGCTTGTATAGCGTTCTGTTTTCCTTTCAACAAGTCTTCTAACGAGAGATTCTGTTGTTGAAGTATTTCGCTCAAACTTAAGCCACCCGTTTGCTTGAGAATACTTCTCAAATTGGCGGTTTTTCCATCGTCAGTTGTGTGCGCCTCATTGGATTTTTGTTCTTCATTTCGACGTGATCCAACATACGGTTTGCGATAGGATTTATTAAATCGCTGTGTTGTCGTAACAGGTGCTGACGTTGACGATACAAAGCGTTCGCGTTGTACCCATGGTTCGTAGTGTGGGCGATCCGATACTTTGCCAGTTACTTGGTCGGCATTGAATTGGCTTTGCACTTCAAGCACGGGTGATTGAACATCAGTTTCAATTGATTTCCAATCATTTCTTCGGTCAATGGCTGGCATTGTATCGTCTTCGCTAAACGTTTGCGTGGCCGACACCACAAAACCGGCTGTCGGTTGATCTTCAGCGGTAATTAAAGCCGGCTTCCAATCACCATCCGCTTCGGCTGGCAATTCATCGTCGAATCGCCGTTGCGTGTTGCTCGATTTCTCTAAGTCATCATCTTTCGATTCGTATAGTTGCGATAAGTCTGCAGTTGGCAAAACTTGATGTGCTGTCGGTTTCCACGGACTCTGAAAAATTGAAAAAAAAATAAAAATACGAATTAATAGAGAGAAAACAATTTTTCATTTCAACTGTTCTGAAATTTATTTTAATTCCGTTTCAAAAATAAAACAACCGACAAATAAACGTGTTATGAAAATCCAGTTTGCTCCACTTTGATAGTGTGAAATTGAAATTGGTGCTGTCGTTCAATGAAAAATGCCTGTAATTAATCTGCGCTGTAATTCGAATGATTGAACACTTTTGGAAATGAAATGTGTCGAAAGGCATCGATATATTGATAACACTCCAATGAAAACGAGTACATTTTGTTGTGCTGATTCATTGCAGCATGTCACAATACCTCTCCAAATCATACATCCAGCTGTCAATCAGTGTGAATTAAATGGTTTTTCAGAGTAGTCTATTTTGTGTAAGTGTAAAGAAAATCAACTGCAGTGGAAGGTGTTCCATTCAGGTTCAGAGATTGATGCGATTCTCTCGACAGACAGCAAGAGAGGAAGAAAAAAATCGGACCAACAGAAGAAGAAAAAAATAGCGATGCAAATCCCAATTGCAATGCATTGCAATTACAATTGAACCATATCGTATCGAATGCACCACGAATGCTGTTTCTGTATGCAATCGGTGTAAATGTTTGAATGTATTATCATATACTAGATATTTCAGGCACGAACGTTACACATTCAACGTTTGCTGTGTGGCGCATTCGATGTGCATAACCCAAAAACTTCAACTAATAAATCGAATTACGAGCCAATATATCGGAAAGGTTTGATATCAACAAAATCAATCATGTGTGCCCAGAACACTTAAAGCGTACTACGCTGTTTTCTACACCACATTCGATTTCCACTCTTCCTCCATTCTCTCTCTCTCTCTCTCTCTCTCTCTCTCTCTCTCATTCCACATACGTTGCGAAACAAGAAATATAGTAATTCCGATTTCATCACCGAAAAATTTGTGTTACATTGTACTAGTTTTTCCCTTTGGCGCGATTGCTTCAAACATCGTATGCCGAGAGCAGGAGTTACATACGAGAGAGCGCCAGCACCGACTCTCACGTGAATACGTGAGTTGTTATATTTGAATAAATCGTGTCTTTCGGCGAAAAGTTTTCACCTGAAACGGGAAGTTTTTTTTTCGTGTGTGAGTGTGTGAGCGTGTTTGTGTCATTTGCAGGCAATAGAATAGCAAAAGCGAGGGTGCATTTATTTGCATCCGCACGGAAGTCGGATAACAAACAGCGTATCTAAATGCATTTTTTTTCTGCGTTGAATAGAGAGCGAGGGCGGAAAAACAGGTAAAATTTATTGCCAGAGGAATCGGGAATTTATTGATTTCATTCATTGAACGCTGGGTATGTTGTGACAGTGCATTTTTATAGAGTAAAATAAAATGAAATTTTCCCGGTATGTTGAAGTATGTGGAAAATATTTTGATACCGATTTATTTCGATACGTTGCATTGAAACCAGAATGTTATTTCAATCACGACATATATCGAGATTCCGAATACATTTATTCTTCTCTTTCACACTCTCTCACTTTCTCTCTCTCTCGTTCCCTCTTCCCCGACTGCACTTCATCAAACGCTACACACAAAAGACCGTTTCACGCTGCATATTTGCAAGCAATTTGGAAATCACAATTCAAACGAAATCATATGCACATATGCGGTAATAAATATTGCCACGGTTTCATTTATTTACACCTCTTTTATCGAATGGCCTTTTCGGTCTGCCTACGTTATTTGGATGTTTTTCACGTTCCAATCGATCGAATGCAAAGCAAGCGGTCAAACATTACATAATAATCCAATATATGTGCATTTTGGAATTGGCAATCAACAGCTCTGATGGTACTTACGACAACGATAGTGACCCTGATGGCCATTCCATTCTCACTTTTCCATAAAGTTTTTTTTTATTCGTTTATTCATTCGATCAGTCGAGGAAATACGTGCGCATTTAATCGGAAAATATTTTCGATTACTTCAATTTCATTGGGGGTCACTCGGTACACACTGATGAACCATCTAGTTTTATTGGCTTTCGGCTGTTGCCTAACTAGGAAGAACCATTTTCATTCTTTTTTTCGGTTTATCGAAATGGTCTTTTCATGTTAAAACCAAAAACTAAATTCAATTCTCATAATACGGTCGACTGGAATATTTTCCGAATGTCACATTCGATCTGCACATATTTTTCAGTTTAAATCGAGTCACAACAACAATTTGCCAAACCTAATGAATTTGATTAAAATCAACTGCAACATAGACGGGCCCATCATTGTTTCATTTATGTGCACAGCATGATAGGCATTGTGATTGCTATAAATTGTGATTGTTCATCCATACGAAAATATCCAGTCTATGTTTCTAAAAATATCGACAATATTATCAATGTTGCAATTGTTTGCATTGGTTACAAAATAGCCAGCCAGTTTAACCGACTAGTCATCCAGTCTCTGCGTGTCCGTTTTAATTAAATTCATCTTGGAAATATTTTTGATTCAGTTCATGTTTCATGGGATTTTGCTCGAATGCAACCATTTCAATTATCCTGTATTTATTTTGGTTGAAATGGCAGGCCATGTCAAATATGTGTCTCGTAAATAAATTTGACTTGAATTTTCCGAGACTCGCTAAAATAACTGAACATAACATTTCCATCGAGGAATAATTGTCAACTGATGTTAGCTTGATGGTTGTCAATGTAGTTGCAATTTTTTCTCCATTCCATTTTATGAT